ATCAAGTGGAACAAATTGAAAAAGAGATGGAGGGATAAGAGCAGACACTGGAGAATTGGGGCAAAGGAGAGAGAGAGACAGAGAGAGTGAGAAAGAGTGAGAAAGAGGGAGAGACCGTGCAAAAGACGCAGGCTGGAGTCCAGAGGCAAGCATGGAGCTGAAGGCCAGGTAATATAGCCTGAGGGGGAGGGAGATTGGGGGGGGGGGGGGTTACTTACACTCAGGATCTGGTCCCCCTTGCGCAGCTCCCCGCTCAGGTCGGCCGGCCCCCCAGCCAGGATGAAGGAGATGAAGATGCCCTCGCCATCCTCGCCGCCCACGATGTTGAAGCCCAGGCCGGTGGAGCCGCGGTGGATCAGCACCCTGCGGGGATCCCTGTGGGCAGCCCGGGCGCCGGGGATTATGGGAGTGATAATGGGGGCGATGGAAACAGGTCCCCGTGGACGGGTGTGAAATGGAGGAGGGAGTAAACTGCGGCTGACAGGCAAATCACATCCATACATACATCCATCCATCCAGGTGCTTATTGTTAAAGTTTTTAACGACAGGAATGGGGGATAAGATGAGGAAAAACAGATGGGGGGTGTGCACGGCGGGCGGAGGCTTGCCTGGGGATCTCGTCTTCTCCCAGCATGCTTTTCATGACAGGCGAGTACCTGCTCGGGGATGTGGGGGTCAGGGCTTGCGGGTACTCCGAGCCCAGGTAGCTGGAGTGGCCCACCTCATTGTCCAGGTGTGGGGAGTACGCTGAGGGGGGGGGAGGAGATTAGGAGGCCGCACGCTGACACACGTGCAGACATGCACACGCGTGAGCTGGGGGGGTTTTCGTGACTCACAGCTGGTTATGTCAGGGGGGTTGTAGGAGTTGGTGAGGTACAGCGAGCTGGGCTTGGCTATCCGCAGGTACACCACCTCCGCCGTGTTCTTCAGCGCCCCCACCGCGTCCTCGTGCATCACGTCCTCCAGGCACACGTTGTTCACCTGCAGGGGGCAGCGCAGGCACACGGAGTTTCAGGCGCGTGCCGCTCATACCACTGCCACACCTCGCTGGGCGACGATCTCCAGCTGAGGATAACCACCACCCCCCCACCGCTCCCGAGTCACAATCTTCAGAACGAAAACGAAGCAGTCGACTCTATCGAACAGCCGGTGGCCTCAAACAGCAGCCCAGCTGCAATTCCCTACTTGGACATCAGGGGGTGCTGTCGCTCCAGCAAACAACACACATTCTGCGCAGCGAGACATTTAGTATCTGTCAGTCCCCACTGAGCATGTTTTTGTGATGCTGGTGAAGATGCTTTCGGTCTCGGCAGATCAGACTAATCTTAATGCAGCTGCGGGAGCTAGGGACGATGTGAGGAAGGGCGCCGCCCTGCTGTTGGGGAGAGGACATGGCGTCTCAGTGCGTACATGTCAATTGTGCGTTTAATTTGCAGGTGGCCTTACTGTGTGCAGTTGCTTTACACAGCTAAGCATGTCTAATAATACTTTCTGCTCTTTCCTGCAAATGACACAAAGCCATCCCATCTCCCGCATGCATGGTTGGTGCATGACCCACTGGCGATGTCCCCGCACGCGGGGGGGGAATCGACTCACGGCCAGGATCTTGTCCCCGATCTGCAGCCGGCCGTCCTTGTGCGCTGCCCCGCCCTCGATGATCTTGGTGACGTAGATGCTGTTGTCGCCGGGGATGTGCTGGTTGCCCACGCCACCCGCTATGCTGAACCCCAGGCCTGCGGGCAAACCCAGATCCATCAGCGCCATCGTTCGGGGACGCACAGCCCGTTGATACGTTACTGCACTGCATCACAGAGTCTCTTAATGATTTACTGATTGGACGAAAAACACACAAACTTCGCTTATTTAGTAAGAAGGGACCTCTACCAAAACCTCAGCAGCTGCAGGAACAAGGATACAACAGAATTGCCCCATTGTAGGAACAAGGGTACAGCAGAAGTGGCTCTATTGTCAGAACAAGGGTGCAGCAGATATTCCCTATTGTAAGAACAAAGGTACAACATAAGTGCCCTCTTGTAGCAACAAGGGCACAACAGAAGTGCCCTATTGTCAGAACATGGGTACAGTGGAAATGCCCTATGGCAGAAACAAGGGTACGATGGAAGTTCCCCATTGTAGGAGGAAGGGTACAACAGAAATGCTGTACTGTATGAACAAGGGTACAACAGAAATACCCTACTGTAGGAACAAGGGTACAACAGAAATACCCTACTGCTGGAAACAGCCTAACCCCACTCGGGATTTGACCCCACAAGCTCCTGTTACCTTTCGGCCCCTTGATGAGCTTGATCTCGGTGACTTTCTCGGAGCACGGTTTCCTCCGCATCACGTAGAGCCGGACGATGGCGCCCGCCTCCTTCAGGGCCTCCACAGCCTGGCTGTGTGTCACCTCCCGCACGTCGGCATCGTTCACGAACAGGATGCTGTCGTTGACACTATGGGGACAGGAGGTGGCATTTCACTGTCCCGCCTGCTGCCTGGTCGGCCATCTTGGGTTCAGTTTTTCTTTTTTGATACATGTTGGTGAGTCCCAGCATTTAAAGTTGCAGTGCTGTGTAATGAAGCGCGGCCCATTAGGCTCAGTGGCTCTGCCCCTTTAATAAAGCAGCTTTGGTTACCTTCCAGTAAGACCCGCCCCCGCCCCCGCCGCCCCCCCCCCGCCGC